GGCAACAGTTCAGCAGCAAGGAGCTGTGGAAAAGCAATTCCTGCCCAGAGGAGCCGGAGCCAGTGAGGCAGGATCCTCCCGGCACTCCGTAAGGGTTCAAGTATGTGGGAGCAGCACGAGCAGAGGCTCCATCGGGGCTGCCAAGGGCACTCGGCCTCCAGCRCTGCTCCAGCTCGGGATCGGCCGTGCCGGGGCTGGGCACTCCCCACTCACTGCTCTCACTGCAGCAAGGAATGTCTCCTTAAGCTCATTGAGGGGGTGCCATTAATTCAGGGCTTTCTCATTAAGGTTTTTCCTCATTAAGGCTTTTCTTCATGAATGTTCTGATTTTTCCCAACACCTGCAGGTCCTAAATCCCACCCCGGACTCCTCAAATGGCGCTCAAACCCTTCCCAGGACATCTCTTCCCCTTTCCAGACTGGATTTAGCCCAGCCCCCAGAAATCCAAGGAAAAGGGAGTTTTGGGAAGTGCTGCCCCAGTCCAGGGTCAAGGGAATTTCCTCGGCCACAGCACCAGCACAGATCCTCCCCGATCCCAAGGGAGACAGAGGAGCCTCCAGCGCAGCGGCTCCCCCTCTGCACATCCCGCAGAGCAGTTTGACTATTTTTGGCAATATTTAGGAAATTAGAGTGGATTTGACACTCCAGAGCTGCAGCTCCTCCAGCTGGGCCAGTCTACAGTGCTGCAGGCCAGAGCTGGCACAGGGCTYGAGGGTTTAAGGTTTTAACCCCAAAAGAGCTGCTGCTTCCCACACTTCCAGGGACGTCTGAAGCCCTGTCACACTGCTGGCCCAGCACATACCCCAAAATCTCCAAGTTCTGGGGCCTAACACTGCTCCCAGGACAAGGGAAAGCGATTAAAATCTCTGTCAATGGTTTTTGTGGGTTTAGGGATGCAGTGGACGTGGAGGGGTTCCACAGCTGCAGGTGAGTCAGCTCCAYGGGCAGGTCCCAAATGCCCCCATAAGCCAGGGATTGTAAGGGGCCAGAAACCCCCATCCCCATGGGCCATTAATCCCAAAATCACTTGGATTCAGAGCTGTGTTTGTCACCAGGGATGTCAATGATACCCAGATTGGCTGCAGAGGGGTGGGGTGCAAACATCCTCTTTGGGGGATTTCCATGCGTTTTGGGTTCTTTTCCTTGGRTTTCTCTTTGTGAATGCCACCAGGGGGTCCATTTGGAGGTTTTAAAGTGTGAGATCTTGGGAACAGTTATCCAGCTCTCTGGCCTCTCTTATCTCAGGGCCATGCCCTACATCACATTCCTGTGCTTACCCCAGGGGACAAACCCATCTTGGGGTCAGCCAAACGCCGGCCACCGCTGCACCACACTCCCAACCATGGCCCTCCTCCGGGCCCCCTTAATCCAGACCCCAAGATCTGCTTCTTGCACAACCCCATCCTGATCCACCTTCACCCCACTGACCATGGGGCCACAACCCCATCCCGATCTGCCTCCACCCCACCATCACCCTA